ACCTTGACCTTTGTGCGTAGCCAAGTATTTATAATGGTCTCGGAGATTAGGGTTTCAGAGGAATAATTCCGTAGTTGGTAAGGAATTATTCCTCCCTGATTTGGCATTGATTTGATTAATTAGGGATTTGATTTATTTGGGTATCAGATCCCTAATCGTGGTAGGTATCAGATCAAATCCCAATTTAATTAGGTAACTCCTCATTTAATTGGGAATTGGGGTAGGAATCAAATCAATTCCCAACTTAATTAGGTAATTCTCAATTTAATTGGGTAACTCCCAATTAAATTGAGTAATTCCCAATTAGGTTGAGTAATTCCCAATTAGGTCAAATAATCCCCAAATGGAAGGAATTATTTGACCTAGGGTTTTGATTTAATTGGTTCCCACATATATAAAAACTAAAAAACAAAACTAAACTAAAAAACAAAACTAAAGGGAAACTGGTACTTGTGGCTGATTGTCATAGAACTTGTCAATGATCAAATGCAATTCATATATAACAGATGAAAAATTAATTACTTTCCCAATCAGGGATTTTGTTCATATTATATGGTCAAAACTCAACTTATCCTGTTATGCAGAACGATATTTTCAGCACCTAAACTAAGTTTGCATTGGAAAATGAGAAAAACAAAACCCAAATCCCCAAAATCTCATATAACACAGATCAAGGAAGCATTTTCTCTGGCCGCAGCTGCTCAATTTTGATCTGGGTACACAGTAAGAGAAACTCCATAAACTTGGCATCCTTTTCATCAATTGCTTAGAGGGGTTTTGGATACTTTATCTTGATAGGGGCTCAACTGAAGCATTGCCTTGACGGATATTAGACAGTGCTGACGTCCACACGGCTTCTATGAAGCTGGAAGGCAGCAGTGATCCAACTCCCGCAACTGCATTGGCTGCCTGACCAATTGAAGTAACCCAAGCGAGCTTCACAATGTGCACATGACAACTTGCCCTTGCCCTCCAGTGCTCCTTCAACTGTGTAATGAGAAAACATATGAAAGATCAAATTATATCATGTTTCCATGACAAATCACATTAAACGAAAGATGCTTCAAATGAAATAACTTCTACTTCATTTAAGTTAAGGTATAAGGAAACCAAAATCAGCTGAAGAAAAATAAAGGAAAAGATCAAGAAAAGCACTATAGGTCCAAAAATAGGAATGTGAAAAGGATGTGGATTCTGTCCGAGTGTCAAAGTCTATATTCGATACTTTTTTCAATGTTAAAATACCATCATTTGTCAACACACTGGATTAACTGGTCAACAAGAAAAACCAATTCGCAGTTGACATGTAATCTCAAGTGACAATTTGATCACATAATATCCCAGTTAAACTGTAGAGCATTTATATTATAACAATCAAATCAAATAACCCAAGGAAGCTCTTTTGACAAGAGAGCTCTGTTGCATGATTAACTATTACTGCAATGGAAAAGGTAAGCCATACAGTTATAAATACGACACAGTTACCTGCTGTCATCCACCTTCGAGGCTCAAAAAAAATGGATGAACATTCAGAATCCTCAGACAAGTTGCTACTTTTTCGCTTTCGCCACTCAAACGATTTCTCACCCTCGCCTGGAATGTGATCCACAACATTGTCCTGCAATGCAACAATTCTTCGGCATTTCTTGCAGCGGAATGCTGGTGTACCAGTTTTTCCTCCATTTTGAGCTGTTTTTACTCCAGAGGCAACTTCACCAGGCAACCCAGGATCTGCCCCAAATTTAGAACTGTCTATTTTATCCCCATGATGATAAGATTCACCTGAAAGGATGGATAAAATATTTCTATTATAGCAGCGAAAACAGAAATTCACATTTGCCACTCAATTTGAAACCTCCAGTGAAAATGAGTAGGCATAACTTATAATGTCTCCTATGCTGAGACAAACAATTTTTCACATAGTAATTAACATCAAGAACATTTGCCATGCAGTTGCCACGCCCTTCACAGTTGTCACTGCTGTTCTGGTTAGCATTTCTTTTTCTTTTTCTTTTTCTATTCTGCTAAAATGTTATGTAAGGTAGAGGAGAATGGCAAACTTAAAAAACAGATTGGGAAGTATAGTTCATGGATACCGTAGCAGCATTGTAGCCATTTTTTGTGTTGGTTTCCCTAAGCTAATTTGACAAGTGAGATTATTTTTATTCTGAATGCTACAATTTAACTCTATACAGTTTTTTTGAGATTCTATCATGTATAAATAGAGTGAACTAAATTGAGACAATCTTGTTTCTGGAATTCTAAACCTTTGGCATTTTTGAGTTCCTTTCAGAACCTTGGAAGCTTCGCAATTTCTCATAATCCAGCAGTGTCTCCATGCTCAATTCAAACCCTCTCGCTTCTCAAAATAACATTCTTTGAGCAATAACCCCACCAAAAACTGGACCAACTATCTCACATCCTACTTCAATGATATACAACCAATTTGGTAAGCAATGGCTCCTTAATACCTTCCTATCAATGAATTTTTCATATAGTCCTAGGCACACCAACTCATATACAAACTGATGTGGTAGTATTTCAGTTGTTTAAATTTGAGCCTCATTTATTTACAAACAGTAAGATACTACCATATTATGTGCCTCATCAGTTGGTATTAAAAAGCTGGGATAAGAGTTGGTGCCTCGAATATCATGAGACTCAAGAAAAGCCTACGTACAACAATTTCTAGTCAGTCAACGGCACAAGAATTATAGCCTAGTCTCTATGTCCCATGGAGTACTTTCATCATCTTGTATATTACCGAAACTTGAAAAACTAAAATATGAAAGCATGAATTCAAGATGTTCAATGAAAAACAATAAATTTAGAGGGAGGGGAAGATGGAGAAGAAAAAATAAAACTGTACCCAATACTTTCAGGCGAAAAGACTTGTATATGGGGCTGGCACGATCAACCTTGAAGCCCATTTCCTCGTACATTTTGAGCTGCAACACGATAAAAGAAAAGAGTAAAATTCACTATGGGCTGGCTTAGCAGAAAGTAGTCTAACCTTGTACAAGATGTTACATAAGAGTTCCTTGAATCACCTGATCTAGAAAACCATCATTGGGGCAAACAAACTCACAGCTTTGCCTCAGGGATCCTAGTGCATCTGTAGGATTGCATAAGAGGAAGAGAAAGACTAAAGCAGTTAAGCATTTGTAACCCACTCTGCCTTTTCTTCAATTCTATTGCTCAGGAATTCATATATTTCAAAGGGTGATGATTTTGGCACTCCAACTACCACCTTCTACACTCCTCTACTCTCTCACACAAGAGGACCACATGATTTTGGCACTCTTCTTGTGTGAGAGAGTAAATGAGTGTGGAGTGTCAAAATCATCTTCCATTTTTAAAGTCATACAAGCTTGTGAAACTAATTTTTATCTGAACTGAAGAAACAAAAGCAGCTATTTGGATTCCAAAAATATAACAGCAACATGTAGTTATATACGAAGACTGGCGATACTTAAAACAAGCAATGATTTGTTCACACCTTCTTGTGATAAATGCTCTGTTCTCATCAGATATGCTGTAATGATAGATGCACTGCAACAAACAAATGCAAACAAGGGTGTAAACACTTTAAACTTGACAATTCAGAAAACTAAAAAAGCTATCAGAATTTAAGCCTGTTCTGAATAATTTCCACATTATTAGTATACTCTTGTTATTCTAAAAAACTAAAAATCATAAACTGAGAAAGCAATATGTACCTTCTGGAAACACCAGCAAGGCAATGCACCAAAACAGAACCCTTTTTTCTACCCTTATCAATAAAATCCACACACGCATCCAAATAATCCAATAAATTCTCATCGCCCGAATCTCTTAGCGGAACCCCCATCCTCTCCAGCTTCAAATCCTTGCCTGCACGAAAGCTTATCGACCCATCACCAACATAAGCTGACCCACCAACAGACCCGCCATCATAGACCTTGATTTCCTTTGTGGGAATTGCACAGAGAATATGTGTGATCTCTTTGCTGCCATTTCGGATAACCTCTGTCGCATCGCGGATGTTGCCGAGGAATAGATTCTCACGAACAAGATACGGCATGATCACTGAAAAATATTTGAATTTTTCCTAAACCCAAGATTATCAAAGCAAGAAAAGTCGAACAATATGAGGCAATTTACAGAGATTACAAGAGTGTTTTATAAGTCAGTCTTGCTTGACAAGAAATCCTAGTTATACCTTGAATAAAAAAGGGCAGTATTTACACCGTCAATAAAAGGGAAACAAGATAATAAAACACCTAATTTAACAAGAAGAAATCTTTGTTCTTTACCTGTATTTAGGTCATCGTGTGAGAGTGAGAGAGAGAGAGAGAGGACGGGTTTTGGGTCTTAAGTTTTTCTTTTTAAATTTTTTTATCTGATGAAAGTATTTTATTCTGAAAACGAAAAAAATTATCCTGATAGGCGTGTGAGAGGACGGGCTTTGCGTTGGTTTCTTATTGATGTTTTAAAATACTTTTTAATATTTCAAAATAATTTTTTTTTTCTTCTCAAAATTGAAAAAAAATTATGGGATATTCACTATTATACCCAATATAAAGGCCTAAATTATAAAAAAAATTATATATGAAATGGACTTGAGAAATACACCCAAACCCATTTACAACATAACAAAGAAGATTTTTTTGGATAAAATGTTGGGGGGTAGGGGGGGAACAAACTCCAAAAAAACAGAATACCTAACCAATACAAATTAAACGACACGAGTGACTCCCAAAAAATAATCAGCTATCTCCAAAAAAACAGAACGCCTAACCAATATCCAAGTCTAGATTATGGCTCCATTTGGCAAGGCAATTTGCCAAACCATTCTTCTCTCTTAAAATATGCTGGATATTCCAACTCTCAAAATGCCTAAGCATCTTCCCACAGTTTGAAAGCAAAGCAGATAGAGGATGAAAACATAGAGAATCCCTTTGCTGGAAAAGATTCACAGCACTCTCAGAATCCATTTCTATGAGGATCTTAGTGAAGCTCTTTGCCACTGCTAATCTGAGGCCAAACTAGGTTTCAACAACCAAAATGTGCCCCTTCCCCAGATTCACAACAAAACCTCCACTCCACTCCCCAAAGCAATCCCTAAGCACACCACCAACACCAATCTTTCTAGAAGCATTCATGCAAGTGCCATCCACATTGAGCTTAACCCACCCTCTGCCAGGCGGCTCCCACATTAACATAACCTGTATTCGGTTTTTTGTTTAAATTCATATGTAATGTGGACTCTATTTTTTACTGTTTAGTTGCGTGATGGGAAGACAGGAGGAGGAAATACATATAGTTTCTAGTTACAGAAATAATTTTGCAGAAAATTGTTGGGGGCGGGATGCAATATGATAAGATTGATAGATTGCCAAAGTCCCACATTGGAATAACTCTCAACAATACAAATGCTTATAAAGATTACATGACACCTTACAATTGCTGAGCTTTTTCTTTTTTACCCGAGCTTAGTAGCGTGAGCTTGTAACTAAGCAGAGCATTAAAGAGATTGGTTGTTTGAACAAATCTTTGTCAGGTGAGATGTGATGCTCTTGGACCGTTCACTAAGAGATGTGACGCTCTTGGACCGTTCACTACGATGAAGTAGCACAAGGCACGCTCTCTACCCTCGGGTAAGTAGGGCCACCCAATCGAAACGGGTGGGTAGCAAACCCAAAACTCTAAAAATTTGATTGGGGTTTTGGGTACCAGAAATAAAAAGGAAAAAAAAATCTCCACATTGAATTATTTTTTCAGCCAATCTAGCCCTCAGATTATTTTTAATGGTCAATTTAGCCCATGCTGTTAGTTTTCATGCAATTTCATCCAATTTTCTATCTAAATGTCACATGTTAGGCACGTGATTCACTGTTGAATTAAAATTTTAATTTTTTTAAGTTTAAAACTACAAAATTGGAAAAACAAAAAAACAACCAAAAAAAAAAAGAAAAAAAAAGAAAGGGGAAGGCAATCTACGTCTTCCCCAGCCCTTTCCTCCCAAGACTCTCTATCTCCAATCCCACATCCACAAGGGTTTTCGAGTGAATACCAATGGTTGGTTCGTGTAAATAAACATATAATCAGAATCAAGATATGTTTTCATCTTCATCAACACCTACTTGTTCTTGATTGGGTCAATGGGATTTAGGGATTGCATCAAGTTATCAACTCCTCCCCAAAATACCGGGTCTGTTTGGCATATTTCTATGAGGTGTGAAGATTGCCCGTCCTCTTGGCTGTTATTAATCTTCTTCCTTTCCTCTTGTATTGTGTTTTACACAAGCTCCTCTTCTTCCTTCTTGTATTATGTTTTACACACGCTCCTTCAATTTTAGCCTTTTCTTGGCTGTTATTAATGAGAATTTATCAAAAATAGCCAAAACTTGACCCCTAATTTCAAAAATGTCAGTTTTTGTAAAATATTTCAAATATAGCAAAAAACTCACCTAAATAGACACAAATGCCCTCAAATTTAAAACCCACATAAACCTATAAAGAAAACTCTATTAGATTAGGAATCTTTCTACGTACATTTGCAGACGTATTATTGCCCTAGTCAAATGATGAGTGTAGTTCTTCCTTGATTCTTCGTTTATTCTCCATACTATATTATATCACATATATGGCAGACATCCAAAAACCATTGAAAACCAACATTTTTTTGTTGTTGGTGAATTAAATAGAAAATTGTATACTGTGAATCTAAATTGTGAAGGATAAGAAACATAAGACATAATTTTTCCATTCACATCAACATAAAAGTTTCCTCTGTCTGCAGATACTACACTTTAAACTTCCTTGCCTAATTTCTATGGTTTTTTCTTCCCTTTTATATTTAATTTGCATTTTAGTATGTAATTTTCTAGGAGCAGCGTTCTGGAACTTATCATGGGATTCCTATTTTATTAATATGCTTTAGTTTTATGCAAAATACTTGATAATATTGTTGGCAGTGGCAGGGTTGTTTCTTACTTGCTCCACCGTTCGTTTTTAATTTAGCATTGGAATTCCAAATTTATCCAAGTTTTTTATATGGTGTGGAAGGCTAGATTTTGTATGCTGCATATTTCAGATTGCAGATTATTAAGTATTAGCTATTTTACTGATGTTGTGCTGGTTTGACATTTTTAGTTTACTTGGGTTACTTTTGATGCGAGTTTGTTCTATGGCACCACCCTTTAAGAACAAATTTATTCATTTGTCAATAAATAGGATGATATAAATCAACTTATGTTCTTCTATACAAACGTGGGTTAAAAGTATTCCAAAGTTTTATTTAATAAAGTTTCTTTTTCAGGATTATGTGGGTTTTAAATTTGAGGGCATTTGAGTTTATTTAGGTGAGCTTTTGGCTATATTTGAAATATTTTACAAAAACTGACATTTTTAAAATTAAGGGTCAAGTTTTGGCTATTTTTTTTTATAAATTCTCGTTATTAATCTTTCGCTGCTAATCTCCCTCCAAATGCTTATGTTGCATGAACAGACAAATTTCGATACAGCAGTGGAGCCTCTGGATATTTGTAAAGAGAGGACAATTGGAGCTAAGTAATTTGAAAGAGCTGGAGTAGATGGTACGGGAAGAAAGAAAAGAGAAAGAGAGGAAGAAGACAGAAAAGGGAGAAGAACAAAGAAAGAGAAAGAGAGAAGAGCTAAATTGACCATTTAAAATAGTCTGAGAGCTAAATTGGCTGAAAAAATAATTCTGGGTGGAGATTTCGACAAGCCTAATAGTTCAGGGGGGTATTCGGCAGTTTACCCATTATATTATGTTCTTTCATTTGTTGCAACTTAATAAATAAATAAATAAATTGGTTCAGTTTCTAATTTTATTTATTTATAATAATTGGATGAATTATACCTATGATGATCAGAAGGCTGCAAAGAGGATTTAGATGTTCTAATCAATTTAGGGCATGTTTGGTAGGCTAGACTAACCAGGACAGTGTTAAATAACACTTTGAAACCGACGTCTGGTGAAAGAGGGACTAACATAAATGGGATTGTATAGTCCATGAGGAAAAAAAACACCGGACTCGCTCGTTCAATACAGTGAGGATGAAATGCGGTTCGAAAAATAGCGAGCGTGCTATTTTGAATGCACGAGTCTGACCAACACAGCCTTCACTCTCTCGTTCTCTTCCTCTCGAACGACTGGAAGACCTCCATGAGCTGCTCCTAGTTGATGAGGATCTCCTCGTTCATGTCAGGCAAGATGGCGGTGACTAGCTCGTCGAACTCAACGGTGCCATTTCCGTTGGCAAGGAGGACTTGGAGCTGGTAGCTGGTGGGCTTGACGCCAAGAGACTGGAGCAGGGCAGCGAGCTCAAGCTGGGTGAGGCTGCCATCGGAGTCCATGTCGAATCGCATGAAGATGTCTTTCAGCTACTTCCACTGATCGATTTGAGCGGCCATCATTCTGGTAAAGGCCAAAGAAGAAGAAAGGGATCATTACAATCCCAATCGTGTTTTGGGCAATTGGGCGTTTTGTTTTTTTTTTAATTTTAATTTTGTGGTGTGGTAATTGGTTTGTGAAAAGTTGTGGTGTGGGGCTAATTGGATTTTTGTTTTTTTGTTTTTCTCTTTGGAAATTTAGAAAGAGAGAGAGAGAGAGAGAGAGAGATGGGAAAGAAAGGCAGAGCAAGAGAGAGAGGAAGGAAGAGGAAAGAATGAGAGGATGGAATTCCTTTTTATAATTTTATAAATTTTATATTATTTTTTTCACACATCAGCCCTAATTAAATATCCCTAATTAAATTAAAATATTTTTTTAAGTCAAAATCACCAATTAAATTTAAATATTACAAGAGTTATTTTTTAGTCCAACACAACACCAAGGTCTTCACTATTTTTAAAATCCAACTTCTTAGACTGACACAACACCAAACGTAGGTTAGTATTTAATCCAGTTTAGGCCTATTCAAGCTAATTCAAGACAGTCACAGGACTTAGTCTAGTCCATAACAGTCTGCCGTACCAAAGACCCCTTAATATCTAATTTCTTTGGGGGGAGTGCCCACCACAGTAGCTTGTTACTAGGGCTCTCAAGTGTCGCCCAGGCGTTGCACTACTGCATGGGCCTGACGCACCCCACCAAATCTAGTTTAAGCTTTTTACGTCCCACCCCACCAACTCAGATAATCCTTCTGCCTTTTATTGAGGTGTCAAGAGCTGGTTTTGTGATTGTTTCCACATAAGTGATTTTGGTGACTCAGTCTACCAACATGGAAGTGCTTTTGCGCATAAGTTCTTTAGATGTTATTATTTGTAGGTGTTTGTACCCAATTTTGGTAGACGGGCCAAAAATGGTCCCAAGTTTAAAAAAAGAACATATTTTTAGAATAAAGCCATGCCCATTCGCATTTGTCTTTTCTAAAAGTC